ATCAATTACAATTAACACCATACATAAATATAATTAGATAAAAACAGCAGATTAAAAAAGTAATTTTAACGTGACTATGATAAATGTAAAAATAAGAACATAATTAGAATATTAAATATAGAAAACTATCTTTATAAATTAAATTTAAAGTAACCCTTTGAAGAGGGAAAAATCAATTACAGTTGATTCTTTCACGTCAATATGTACCTGCAAAACTTAATTCTATGTCAAACTCTCTTCCGCTTGTTTTTTTTTTTTATAGTTATCTCCTTAATAAAAATTTACTTATCATATTCACCCACACCATATAACCCCTTACATCTTAGTTTATTTATGTAATTATGAGGAGACAGAAGGTATAGTCGTCGGCAAGAGACCCAGTCAAACATCCGACCTGTATATTTGAGACATCAGAATCTAGGAGGGACAGAAATATTGACTACCGGGTTAATTTGCTAAAAATGTCACAGAGAAAAACCAAGACGCATTGATATTGCGAAAGATGTCTTTCATAAACTAAAGTATGAAAATATCACACTAAAGTAAGGAATGGATTGACATTTCCGAAAATAATATCTATTTAATATGATGTATACTGGGCCATAGGGTTCCAACATAGTCATAGTTTATAGAATTACGCTATTAAGACATTACTGTAATTCTAACAATAATAAAGACAGTGATTATTATCCGTGGTTGGGATAGTTTCATGACACCATCTAGCGCCAGTGTTTTTTTCTTGTGTCGGATAAAATGTCAACAAATGTAAATTCTGATATATAAGTAGAGTACGCTCTTCACATTTTGAAAATTGGTTTAGCATAGTCTTCCAATGTCATATATAATGTTTACCTATGTCCTTTTTATATGTCGTAACCGTTTGTAATGTGGGCGATCATTGTCTCTCCATAACTTTTCGTTTTTGTAACTATAAGCAGCGTTACGCTCTTTACAATCCTTCAATAATTCCTCTCTGCTTTACTTTCACACACACTCTTTAGGTGTTTACTTCCTATTCATCTGTACATCACTGCCTTCAGCTTATCTTGCGAATGTTATATTCTCCTGGGCCTAATTCCTCATTATGTGCCCCAGAAATTATAACGATATCTTCTTGGTTTTAAGTATAAGAAGTTCTAATTCACAATTTCTTTAAGATGTTTCACTACCCATATGATATTTTCAAAGAACCACATCTCTGTTGTTTCAAGTCTCTTCTTTATCTTTAAAGAATTTTCCATATATTTCCTGTCTTATATATATATAAATATGATGGCACTTGTTTCTCATGATATTTTTCTAAGGCTTATTTTATAGAAGGCAAAGTTCGTTATTCCTATGCAGCTTAGAACTTCACTTCTGTTAATACATTTTACACATTCACAGTTAAATTTCTGTTCTTGTTATATTTTGATGTCTCAGAATCATAGCATTGAATCTTTAGCTGCCATTCTTGATGGCCAACATACATACAGTCTTTTGACAGTCAACAGTCCGTTATTCCCCCTTTCATTTCCTGCTATGTTTATCCTAGTTACAGCCACTAAGACATCCTGATAATTCGTCTAATTTAATTTGAATAACATCGCTTTAAGATCTATGCGAAAACGCATCAATATCATTCTCCTATTTATATATGTGTGTACTTGCTCAACTCGTTTTCTATTTACACGCAGGTGGCTTTTTCCCAGGAAATGTTACCGATTGTTCTGATGACATTTTCATATAATTGTAAATTTCGTCGTACATTTCAGCTTAATTCTTTTAATAACATTAAATCAAAGAGGATTACATCAACACACATAAATATGCCGGTTATTCATTGTGTATAAAGAATGTATATAACATATCTAACGCTATTAAGTTAAAATACACACACACATACGCTCACACGTTCACACACACACACATACATACATACACACACACATACACACACACACACACACAACAAACACACACATATATATATATATATATATATATATATATATATATATATAGACGCGAAAACGTCAAAAATTTTACTGTAATGTATTCCGAAAGGACGAAACCTGTCACACGAATTTTTTGACAGTTTGTCATACATGTTTCCTCCAGAATTGCTGTGTGTGTGTGTGTGTGTGTGTGTGTGTGTGTGTGTGTGTGTGTGTGTGTTAAAAATGTGTGTTTATGAATCGTCCTTCACTTCAGTCTGGTTCCATAGATTCTAGGTGTTTTGGGAAGCTATGAAAGAAGTGCTTTTTGCGAGTAAAAGCTGTCGTTAGTTACTTTTCTGACTTTAGGAAGAATATGTTTGAAATAAGAGTAAAAGTGAAGCGAAAATAAGGAATTGTGGCTATGAAGAAAGTCACGAATATTGACAGAATAATGAATGGAACTTTTGAATCAAATTCAAATGAACTGAAAAATATCCAACGCCAGAAGCTAGAGGGAGTTTTTTATAAATTAGAAAAAAAAACTCCTTTCCTTTTAAATTCTTTGCTAATAAATAAATCGAAAATAACGAAAGAAAAAAGTGTCTTTCATATTCACACATGTAGTATATAAGATTTACAAAAAATCAATATTCAAAAAGTGAATGTTTGCATATGAGAAGAAGATGGCAGTTAATGGAACGTAAAGACGTTTTCCTATACAGTTTGTCTGAAAAATAAATTACTATATATATATATATATATATATATATATATATATATATATATATATATATATATATAAAAGACATTTTATATATTTAACGTTCTTTTTATAGATACAATGTATTTAAGTAAATGCTCTGTTTATAATAAACAAAATTAAATAACATTTACCGGCCTGAATGTCCGAGAAATTTTCATATAAAAATATTCGTCCTTTGATCATGATTCAAATATTTTCTATGAAAAATTTCTCCCACATTCAGGCCGGTAAATATTATTTAATACTGTTTATTATAAACATAGCATTTACTTAAATACATGTATCTATAAAATATAACGTTAAATATAAAAATGTCTTTATATAAATAAATTGTCGAATTTGTCCATTTTTTAATATATATATATATATATATATATATATATATATATATATATATATATATGTGTGTGTGTGTGTGTGTGTGTGTGTGTGCAAGTGGAGCTTGTAATTAAGTTTTTGCTTTTTTTTCTTTTTTCAATTAATATATATTGAATCTTTCTCAAAATAAAATGTCCCTCTGCCTCAATCTGTCAAAACATTTCTGTCTACACACACACACACACACACATATATATATATATATATATATATATATATATATATATATATAACAACACTAATGTAAAGGTGCAAAATTGAATATCAACCCTGTATATAGGAAACTATAATATGTGTTTGTATGGTGGCCTTATATATAATTTAATATTCCCACATTTGATTATCTTTTATTTCTCTCTCCTTCTCTCCCTCTGTCGCTCTATCTATCTATCTATCTATCTATCTATCTATCTATCTATCTATCTATCTCTTCTCTCTCTCTCTCTCTCTATATATATATATATATATATATATATATATATATATATATATTATGTACATTATTCGGACTATTGTCCTCATCTTTGTCGCCATATTTATCACGACGTTTCGGCCGTTGTACGCTCCAGGCATTCTTTAGGTGGTTGGAGTTTCGAATTGAACACTTTATTTCGCCCTCTCAGATATAAAATAGCTGTGATAAAATTTTCTTTATGCAAGCGCTCGAGATTTCATCCTCTCGCCGGCTTTTCTTTAAAAATATTAATAACGGGAATGAAACGTTTACGAATAATTGTTTTCCAAAGCATTTTAGTAAATGAGCTTCTTGATTCTGTCTATCGTCAGAATAAAGTCGCTACTCTTATTCTTTTGAGGAGTGGACGGTCCGTACAAATATTTGTTATACTTATTTTTCTTTCTGTTACATTTTCAGTTTGTATTCTGGGCCCCCCCCCATCATTTCATCATTCATGGAACTTTTACGGGCATTTACAATTTGATCAATTTTTTTATCAAATTTTATGTCATGTGTGTTTTATAGGTCCCCTGTGAATTTTCGCTATTGTGTTATATGCAGCATTGAGAGGTGATGGACGAGTTCTTGTGATGAATGAGTAAATTGTAATCATGAATCGGTCATGATTCGGATTAATTAGGATTAGGATAGCGAATGAAGACAAGCCGTTCCCCACTTCATTTTCGGCTTGTGACAAAATTTTGAATTTTTACAAGATAAATAAACAGAATACACAGAAAATGCAATAATATTGACAGTATCTACAAAAATTTCCGCACACATTTTTTCTTTTATTATTGTGTTTGCCAGGGTGGGGAAAAATCTTTATTGTCGAAAATTCTCTGTGGTAGCTAGAAGAAACGGGTGGGACAAATCCCCCCTCCATGCCACAAAAGAAACAAAACACAGCTTAGGCTGCGAATAGGAACGAAAAAGATGAGGATTATTATGCCCCAAAATGTACGAAATACAAACATTATGTGAACAGGAATTAATTTTTAATCATTCTCGAAGCTTTAGATGTCGTACCAACCAAGACAATTTCCCTGCTGGCGTCAAAACGAGAAAATTGATTGGGTCAGCATTGATAAAATCGAGGAGGGACAAAATTCTGGCCAATCAGTCTTATACTATGTGGGGCATTCTGCTGGTAACAGAAAATGGAGCAATGCAGCTGACTTACAGTCTACTAATTTATACATCCGTTCGGCTTCTAAGGGAGTACATGGCCACCCGATCGACTATTGGGAATGAACACAGGGCGCCGACCGACATTACTGAGCAAATTTGGTCGTCGAAGATGTTTCCTGGACAATGAGCAAGGTAGGTATTGACACCAGGGATTTTGTCTTGCAGGTAGCAATGAAACGAAAATCATTCTCGTACATCCAAGACACACAGGCATATCGACAGCAAGAAATGTTTGTGATTGTAGAGGGTCGGCGACTCCACTGCTGAATCTATGGCGCAGCGGGGCAACTGTCTAAGGCGTGTCCTTGGGAGAAACCTGCGTCACAATCGCAGTCGGGATCACGGAAACAGTGAGGAACAAGAGATCTGAAAAGCTGTCCGAAGTGATTGGTCGGGGAGGTTGAGAGAAAGAAGCAAAGGGCTGCAACCTATCCTGCCCAGCAGGCCCAGCAGGATGTCTCACAGGCCGGGAAGTAGCTGCAACATCAACAGAAGCAGCAACAGCAGGAGCAGCGGCCCAAGGAGGAATAGCGACGACAACAAAATGAAGAGTGACCTCAGCAAAATCAACAACAAGGGCAGCAGCCTCTGCAGATGCAATATCAGGAGTGGTGGCCTCAGTATCAGAAACCAATAGTGTCAAGCGCAGCAGAAGCAACAACTGTCGAAAAATCAGGAGCAGTTAAAATCTGATATAAGGCGGAGGATATCGTTCCGCCACGGTGCTTATCCTTGAAAAGTGGGAGGGAAGAGGAATCTGAAGAAGAAGGAATAACTTTCCAAAATGGAAGCAGGACCAACCTTCGTCGTATTAACATCTCACAGGACGCATTGCGTCTTACTTGTGATTTGTCCGTCAAGGTGTTTGTCAACCTGTGGTAAAAACATCCCGAGTCTGTATATGTGTTCCTTAATTTGCCACTCTAGTGCAGGTTAACGTCATTTAGTATGGCACCGAGTCCCACCAGATTGATATGCTGAGCATCGTTTGTTGGATGAAGCCAGCGTGTATCCTCCAGAATAACAGCATGTATTTCCAACACCACGCCCGTCGCATGGGATCTTGCGTCAAACCATGCGGTAACTTGTTCGGTTAAGCACCAGTCGCCTCGGACTGGATCATATTAGCACACTTTGGTGATTACTTCGGCTATCATTTGCTTGAGAGGGATGTCATTCACTGTGTCAATCCATGACTTTGTTTCCGAAGTTGCTCGTATCATTAGTACTCCACAAACAGGCAAATATCCTACCAACTTCCTGCAAGTTGAAAAAAACGTTAAGTCACGTAATTATGGTAGGTAGTTCCGGAACCCCACGGCCTCGATTCCACCGTCATGCTCCCCACGTAGAGTGTCGTGCTTCCCCCACATATAAAAAATACTTGTTAAATACTGCGTATTCTGGAACTGCATTCTGTAACGGTCTTGTGCATTATTCATGGCCTACTTCCAACCTGTTGACCAAGCTTTCTCTTTGTGGTCAAAAGTAGCACAGACGTCATGTTCGTCAATGGAGATTGCTGCATACGATTCTTTCTTTCTGTCAACTTTCTGACATTTCCAGCTAGTTTAATCACAGTGTCGCTTAATGCTTGTATGGCATGAATCCCTATCAGCAGATCATAGCCAAGATTTTTTCTTGAACGACCAGAACACCAACGTCAGCAAGGTAACAGTGCACTATGTGAATTGTAACAACTCCAGCTCCACAGTATGCTTGAGACACACCACCAATTTTTACACCGTTTACGCGTTGCCTCCCCGATGATTTTCAGCGATGCGCGATAATTGTTCATCGGGAAGATCCGGTGTCAACGTGTGCTGAACATTGGACGCCGACTACCGGTGATAGTACGTTTACTGTGTTAGTGGGGACAATGTTGGCGACGATACCTTGTCCCCGCATCCATTTCCCCGAACAATCCCGCGCCACCTGACCCAGCTTACTATACCGATTGCAGGTCAGCTGTCTCTACGCTCCCCGAGTCGTGCTCCAATAGTTGTTCAGCCGATGGTTCATCCGTTCGGTAATGTTGCTCGCAAAAACTGACTGACATCATTCGTCAATCCTGCTAAAAAGGCACACTCCAGCATACGACCTACCCCGAAACGGCACAGAAACTTTCCGTAAATCGGCTAGGTAGTCATCATCTTTTTCCCCGGGGAGTAGTAGGCACTCAGCAAAGCGTTGATATGCAATAAATGATTCCGTTCTACAGGCCGTATAAAGAGCCCGTTTTTCTGTTCCTTTTTAAGCTGCAAGTAAAGGGTGTAGTTACCCCAGCGACATCCTCCAAGGAATGACTGCTGCTGCCTCTTTCAATTTTCATAGTCGAAAATGAGCTCTTTTTTCCCACCCAATCAACAACATATATGGGAGGAAAATCTGGTATCAACTTCAAGTGCCGAAACAGCTTCGAGTAAGTTTCTTCGCGCTTGGAATAACGCTCCCTAATCCGTTTCATTCATCAAACCAGCGTAAAGTAATCAACCAAAACTGCACACGTGTCTTCTGTTCGCTACCACAGTCGAACTGCTCTGTTGCCTCGTGAAGCGATTTTGTAGCTTGAGTGGCGGGTCAAATATACATGGGTGCAACAAAGAGCTTCGCTAAAGTATCCGCCTCCGAGATCTCTCGTTTCTCGTAAAGTCGCCATTTTCTTTTTGGGATAACTTACACGCGAGACACGCCCGAAACCGCTTTCTATGAGAGGGAAACACATTTTATTTCGTGTTACATTATATTTCTATTGTACGTGTACAAAAGAGTATTTTATTTTTATCCGAGCGCTTTCGGCTAATCTATTAGACATTTTATCGAGGAGCTTTGTTTGTCTCAATATCTAGATTGCGTTGGTCGATTTCTTTTAGTAAAAGAAATGAAGTAATTACCGAACACAGGGTTTGGGTGTGTGCTTGTGTGTTCGTGTATATATGTATGTGTGTATATGGTAGGATAAGGACAAATAGGAAAAGTTTATAAATTTAGCACGTTAACCTGTTATTTAAACTTCATCGGAAATGAAATTTGGAGGAGAAAAATCTTGTTTTATTTTCATTTTTCTGTTTATTTTTCATTGTTTATGTAAATATCACAAGTTTTTTGCCTTGTCGTTACTGGGTATAATTCCTGTGTGTTTGTGTATCATAACAATATTTAGTTATTGTAAGGAAAGGGTTGATAATGTGTGCGCGTGTTCCTTGTGTGATTCTTCCCTGATTCCAATTCATATTTGATCAATATATATATATATATATATATATATATATATATATATATATATATATAATTTGTGGAAAATACACATACATATGCAAAATATATAAATACCCATACATGTATATTTTTAAAATAAAAATTCCAAGAGGAAGAATCCTGGTAGAACTCAATGTCTAGGACAGAGTAAGGATATAATAAAAAGGCTTAAACACTAATATTCCATGGTCATAATTTATTCCATTGGAATCGTAAATACGATCCAATTCATCAGACCTACAAATTCAAAATAAAAACAGAAAAAAACCACTCCGGAAGTGTAAAACAGAATTTAGAGAAAGTGTAAATATGAGGAGGGGGGGGGATTGAACTTTAACAGAGAGAATTTTAGGAGATGTGGGGGAAGGGGTTTTAATTAAGATAAGAGAATGAATGTCGACGGATAATGATCTGGACATTATTTTAGCGTCAAGAAGATCAATACTTACATAAAATGACGCTACTTGGGTGAAAAAGAATAATGGTATATTAGATGTACCTATGGGAGCCTTTGATTCTGCCATATTGCAGATCTTGTGGGCATATATATTCTTGAGACCTTGAGTAGAATAGTTAACCTTTAACCAAGTCGGAATTTATAGAGATGACGGCTTAATCATTGTCCCAAATAGCAATGGTCCCTTGACTTCCAGCTTACATAAGAAGATAATTAGGGCCTTCAAATACTTAGGCCTTAAAATTGAAATATCTTCCAACCTGAAAATAGTCAACTTTTTGGATATTACACTCAATCTATCGGATAATACCTTTAAACCCTTCCATAAAGTTGATCAAACACCCCTATATATCAACGTCCACTCTAACCACCCTAAACATGTGATAGATCACATCCCCAAAACTGTGAATACGAGAATAAATAGACTTCTAGCCAAAAAATCTTTAATGATAATAAATTTATATACAATCAGGCCCTCAAAAATAGTGGTTTTAGACAAGAATTAAGCTTTAATGGAGAACTTGCAAATCAGAATAATAGCAAAACTAAGAACAGAAAAAGGAAGGTAATATGGTTCAACCCACCATATTGCAAACTCTCTAACATTGATATAGGAAGTTTCTTTCTGAAATTAATTGATAAAAATTTCCACAATAAGCATCCACTACGTAAAATTTCCAATAGGAAAACTCCAACTCATGCGTTAGAAATATAGAGAAAATCATATCTTCCCATAATTGCAGAATACTTAGAAACTACCACAGTAATGGAACTCAATCTAGTAACCCTACCTGCAATTGTAGGAATAAAGACCATTGTCCAATCGGGGGTAAATGCTAGTATGAAAATGTAATATACGAGGCAACTATCTTTCCCGAGGAAAATATAAACGAGAAAAAAAGATACATAGGTATATCCGCTGGTGATTGGAAGCAGCGTCTATACAACCATAGACGCTCATTTACATATAGATGCCTCAGTAGACAGACTTCCTTATCCAAACACTACTGGAAACTGGTGGATAAAGGATCAAACCCAATTTTAAAATGGAGATACCTATCTAGAGCTAGAACACCTAATAACTTCCGCGGTTGGTGTGATCTATGCATGGCGGAAAAAATCTTCATTATTTCTTTCTGTTATTGTTATTCTGTATGCGCACAGGTTATCCTCGACGTGAACTTGTGGATATCTTTGTAGATTCGAACCCAAGTGGCGTATTTCACGTTTGTGAATTTGTGGCGTAGTATGTTAAATTTAATAAATATGTTGCTGCAATCAAGTAGGATTCGTATCATGTAAACGGTTACTACAAAAACAATGAGCTTTTACCATGGATTAATTATCAGAGACATCTAATGTGGGAGACAGCACGTATAGAAGGGAAATTCTGTAATGGAAATCGTAGAGAAACCACTATATTATTCTCCTTAGTTAGTCTTGCATGTGTAATTAGGTTTCTACCCAATAAGAATATTAAAAATTCCATGGAGGGTGTGAATAATTATCAAAGAAGTCTTAAAGAAAATGGCAACAGAAAGAACACTTCTACTCAGAATCAGAAAAAAAAGCTGAAATTCCTTGCATATTTATTTAAAATGGAGACCGTATTGGAGGAAGAGAACATAGGGAAAGGGCAGCATAACACTTATCTAATTATCTCGGCGGAATGGATGGCGAAACAGTGTGCGTGAGCTTTGTCAAAAGGAAAGACTGCTAGGAGGGAACAAGAGACAGGAAGATGTAGAAAGCCATGATCGCCTATGTCCTGAAGGGACACAGCACATAGACGATGAAGAAGTAATCATAATCTTGCTGGCTATTAAATTTCATTTAAAAATAGAATCGGACACACAAGATATGCCATACTGATCATTCACCTACATTCATTTTATTTCATCTACGTTTCTAAGCTTTTGATGTAAGGATATAAACTTCTTTCGCTTACTGTGCGAAAATTTTTCTCTGCTGGAAAAAGATGCATGGCGTTAAGGTAAGCGAGGAATAGAGAAATGGAAGTTTTCTTTTAAAAAAATATTGGCATAAAAAAGAATACACTCACCTCAATGAATCGATCTTTAGATGAACTGGATTATCTTCAGA